CTCTCGAGGCTGCCACATTCCTGGACGCATGGCCTTGTCCATCTTCAGTGTCAGCAGTGGCTGGTCAGGTTTTCACACATTAGGACGCACTGACCATGACTCTCCTGCCCCTTTCACATTTAAGAACCCTGTGGTTACATGGGGACATCCAAAAAACCCAGTGTAGTTACAGGTGGTTGACAACCTACATTTCTCATTCACATGTAAGGTAACCGTGTGCTCACAGGTTCCAGGCCTTAGAATATGAACACCTGTGAGAGACAATATTCTGCTTTTGACTGTTTTTTTCTGTTAACACTTCACTAGAATGTGGCATAAATGGGAAAGGTGCCCACATCACTCCTTTAGGGCAATCCAGTGTCAGAGAGGAGGCTGGGTACCGTGGCAGAAAGGCCATCCTGCCAGGAAGGAGAGGGGCTGCATGTGCTTTTCCATTCAGCAAATGTTGATCCGCTGTGGGTGGGGGAACAGGGTGAGCAGGCAAAGGTTGTGCCTGTGGGATCCTTCCAGTTAAGGAGACAGAATAAACCAGCTGAAAGGGCTCTAACATGCCACAGTCATTTATTGATCCTCCTGGTGATGGACATTTCAGCACATTCCCCGTTTGAAGAGCTGATGGGTTTCTTAACACTTGGGCTGAGGTGGTACAACAGTGAGGGGCCTCCAAGAAGAGATTCTGAGCAACATGAGAGCTGAGTGGTCCTTCCCACATGGCAGCTTTTCCTCCATCACCACCCGGCATGGTAGACGCTGTTTTAGCCGGGGCCTGGCCTTCACTCTGCTACGTCCCACTCTGGGCAGCTGGTGACATTTTCCCTGAAGTCTCACTTTTTCTTCAGCATCTTCAGCCCCAATTCTCTGTGCCCCCTTGTCAACTCCATCAATACCCCTTATACCAACTCCACTTCTGTTCTCTGTACTTTTCCTCCCTCTTTTGTTCCTCCTTTGCAAAACCATATGGTTAAATTGTCAAAGCCAGTAGTGTTTGGATGCCAGTGGTTTAATTTTCCATCCACCTATCCACAGACAATTTTTCCCAAAACAAAGATTAAGGAACAATACCATTTTTGTTGTTTCTTTCAGATTTGGAAAGTAGATCAAAACCCAAACTGTCATCTGCAAAGCAAGACATCTCTGAGGAACTATCCAACAGTGTCCTGGTAGAAAGGTTCCTGTGTGATGGTCTGTGTGGCTCTAAGGGTGAGAACACTGAGGGCCGCGGGGAACAGAGTTGTGAGTCTTGATGGCACTGTGGTTCCCTCCTATGATGACACCTGTGAAGACATCCATTCAGGAGCAGCAGCCAAATATTGGAAATGGGGAAAACTTAAGTCTAAATCCCCGTCTCCCAACTAAACCCATTACTCCTAAAAGATGAGGGTCACATACATGGGGAATGCACAGAAACAGTATCGCGACTCAAAGTTAAATATGCAACAGAAAACCTATGCAACAGAGAAACCCTACAGATGTCAGGAATGTGGAAAGTCCTTTAATCACTGCTCTGCACTCATCCAACACCACCGAAACACGCAGGAAAGAGACCTTATGGAGGTCATGATTATAGAAAAGTCATCCAGAACAGCTCGGCACTTAAGAAACACCAGAGAATCCACACTGGTGAGAAACTCTAAGTGCACACAATGTGTCAGGACCTACAGTCAGATTGTGCTACACATCGAGTACCAGAGAATTCACACAGCTGAGAAGCCCTACGAGTGCAATAAAGATGGGAAATCCTTTCGTTTTAGGTCATTTCACAAGCACAAGTGGACTCACAGAGGCAAGAAGCCCTATGAGTGCAGTCAGTGTGGGAAGACCTTCCAGCAGAGCACACACGTCAGTCAGCATCAGAGGATCTACACAGAAGAGACACCCTATGAGTGCAGTGACTGTGGCAGGGCCTTCAGCCACAGCTCATCCCTAACCAATCACCAGCGAATCCACACTGGGGAGAAGCCCTTTGAGTGTAACGAATGTGGCAGGGCCTTCAGACTGCTCGCTACACTCATTCAGCATCGGAGGATCCACACAGGAGAGAAGCCATATGAATGTAATGAGTGTGGCAGAGCCGTCAGCCAGAGGCCCCTTCTCATAGAGCAGCAGAGCATCCATACAAAGGAAAAGCCATGTGCATGCAATGAGTGTGGGAAGTCCTTCAGTCACAGCTCATCGCTGAGCCAGCACGAGAGGACACACACGGGGGAAAAGCCATATGAATGTCCAGGTTGTGGGAAATCCTTCAGGCAAAGCACTCACCTCACTCAGCGCCAGAAGATCCACACTGGTGAGAAGCCATATAAGTGCAGGGTCTGTGGGAAAACATTCACACACAGGTCTTCCCTGACAAGCACCAGAAAACCCATACTCGGTGGAGGCACCCCATATGAGCTGGGACATAGGAAGTCAAGCCATAGTTCATCCCTTCCGACACTCGACCCAATCGTTCGAATGAGCAGGATGACAGACATTTTTAGACGCCTTCACGCACAACAGTCCTCAGTTAACAGTAGAAAAAAATGAGATCATTGTTGAGACTCTAACCATGAGTAACATTAACATTACATTATAGAACCCACAGAAAAGAGAAGGTAATGTGGATTTGGTCATGTCTTCTGTCTTAAGGATTTATCAAATTCCAAATTTGAGACTTTCAAAGTGGTGAGAAACCCAACAAATGCCTTTCATATAAAAGAATCAACTGCAGTGAGACTTTATTGTTATTACACATTACATTCTTGAGTGGGGAGAAGTGCTTATGAATGGTGCAGATTGATGGTGACAGCTCCCTAAATACCCTATGGCAGAGGGTTCCACATGAGTGACATCTATATGGAATCACCATGCATACTCAACTCTCTCAGTACAAAGTTTTCAGATCTATGTGTATGTTGTTTGATCAAAGTACACAGCACAAAGTCATACAAATTTGAATCCTGTATGACAAAGTGTCCATTTAGTATGAACAGATTTTGCTAGTTACCTGCATTATTTTATAATAAATTTTAGCCCTATCAGTAGGTTTATTTTTGTAGTAGCTTGAGGAAAGCAATTCTGAAACTGTTTTAGGAGTATTTTAGGAGTCAGCAATTTTTTATATTGATTTTGTGGGTCCCAGGGTTCTGTTAGACATGAAAATATGGGGTGGTGGTTACAGACTGGAACTGTATGTATGTACATGTGCACACATTTTTTGTGTACCTATGTATGTTCATATATGTGCCTTTATTTCCTAGCTCTGCAGAAGACAACCTAATAGCAAGGAGCACATTTGGCACTCAGATTTGGTCCCTAATACCATCCCATACTAAAGGGAATGAGTTCTTGAGAACTGGAGAAATGGCTGATTTCAGAGCTGAGGGAAGTAGAAAGATAGCTTGAGACATCTCACACTAAAAATAAAAAAAGACAGTGCTCCAAAAATATCAGGGGTGTGCCACCAGATGGAGTTCTTATTGCCCTCACCTTGGACAACTTAAGCACCAAACTAAGCACAAAAACAGGCATCTATAAGTCCGTCTGGTAATTATGACAAATGGGGAGAAGGGAGGGTGCTGCCTTCCAGCAGAGTGCCCAGGGTTGAGTAAATGGACAGGGGGCTGGCACTGGGTGATTGACACTTTGCAACCATCAGTGGTAAGGACTGGTTCAGGCAAGAGTCATTAATGGAGGCTGAACACAGCAGAGGTATTTTGGCAAGCAGTTGGTTATTTGCATTACCTAAAGGTCTCATATTGGCTATTAGTTAAAAAGAGGGAAATAGTAAGTATATAATGGAGAAATTGGACAATACTTTGGGTGAGCAAAAGAATCACCAGTGGCAGAATGTGGACTCTGTGCACCTCCCAGGTGGGGGGGGGTGTGTGTGTGTGTGTAGGGGTAGTACACAAAAATCACAGGCAGAGGGGGTAAAATGTTAGAGACGTGGGTCTGGATGAGGGTGTGTGGGTGGTCTTTGTACTATTTTCAATATTTCTGTGCCTTAAGGTTTTAAATTATTTCCAAAGAAACAAGGCACAGGCATCTAGCTGTGCAGTAGATGAGACAACATGGGAAAGTGAAGAGACTGAGTGCTGGGCACCATAACAGAGGAGTCATTAGTGGGCCTCAAAGCGGAGGGGGGTGCATCTCAGGAGAGATCCTGAGGCAGCAGAACTGAACCCACGGGTTAGCAGGAGCCCACTGGGAACAGGAAGCAGTGCGCTCAGCACCAACATGGAAGTAACACCTACAGCTACAAGACTCTACTGCAAGTGAAGAAATAAATCCTGTATTATGTTAAGCCTCTGTGCTTTGGGCATCAGACTGGTGCTCAAATACAGAAAGGTGACAGAAAGATGTAACCGGTTTCTGTAGTGGCAGGAAGCAGTTTATGCTCAGGTCATGAAAACAGTGATGTAATCTGAGATTAAATACAAAATTCAAAAGATCTGCTGATGTAGCTCAAGAGGTTACCCTTGCCCAGGCAGATACATCTCCTCAAGACCCTTTATGAGTGTTTTCAGTCTGTTTTGAGCCGAATAAAAAATACATTTTAGATTGCAACCCATTCTAGTATTTAACATATTTAGATATGGCTGAAAAGTTTCACAAAATAGTATTTGCCTTTACTACATGATGAATTTTGACCCATTCTACTTCATGGCTCTGTAATGCCAGTGGCCATCCACTAAATTGATTTCACAATTCATTGATGAGCTGAAGCACATGGTTTGAAAAGACTACATTACGCAGTTCCAATTGTTCTTATGCTCTTTGTAAGTCACTCCACACACAAAAAGACAGGTGAGTGAAACTAGGAAACTATTTTTGCTATTGAGGATTCAGAAGTAAATTTCACATCACATACTTAGGAAAAGGCCAAAACAGCTGTCAAGATTTCTGCTTGAACAGCAGCCTTGGGGAGGAATGGAAACAAGGTTGACACCAAGAAAGCAACAATGTATGTTCATAATAGAGAAAAAAATCATACACAATTGCAGTTCATTAGGAAAACCACATTTATTTCTCCATGATCAACATCCATTCTACATTCATATGTAAACAAATCTTGGCTGTCATACAGCAAATCTCAATTATGCCTTTTTTTGTTGTTACCTGCTGTATTATAACATTTCAATATGGGAACAAAACCTTTAGAATTATGGTTCAGCATGGAACAAATCAGAAGTGTCCTAAGTGAACAACAGGGGAGAAAGGTAAACATAACTCAGTAATTTTGTTTCAACAACTAAAGCAGTGCATCACATTTCTACAGCAGCCCATTTCATCCTAGAAGGAGCCCCTTCAGTCTTTCCTTAAGAGTGATATCACTGTTCATTCACAAGCAACAGTCTCCTCCAAGTGCCTCTTCTGAAATGAGTCCTTAGCGCCTGGCAGGACTGTAACATGGAAATAAAACCAAACAACCACCTACTCTAATTCTGTGCTTGCTGTGACGGGGAGCACATGGGAGCCTCTCCCCAGGGTATCTTTGCTGATACAGACAATAAGAGCTCCTGCCAAAAGCTGCTCTCACTGATTACACTTGATTCTGCTAAGAGTGTGCGTATGTACAATATGGGAGACACTTCCAATTAAGTTTCCTGGTACTGACTGGTTACAGAACACATTCACAGGTTCTTTCCAGTTTATGCACTCGGACACAGGAGCAGCGGGGTGTCTCCAGAGAAGCATCTACCTGACATCCACAGGTGTTATTCCAGTGTATGTGCTATCATGTTTGATACAGGCCGATCATCCCTGAAGCCTTTTCCACATTTATTACCATCCTATATTCCCTCCAGGCATTTATTAATGGTATGGCTAAGGAATGTCTTACATTCAATTCATTGGGTAGGACAGAGAAACATTTAAAAATAAGTTTCTATATTTAAAAAACCATGTTTGTAATGTGATTCCATCCATGCAAAATTATGTACACATAAAGAGGTGGGAGAAGGATGGTTGCCAGAATGTTGCTTAATGATAATCACAGGGGGTGATAGTTCAAGTGACTTACTTTTTTCATCTAAAAAAATTATTTTGTACTACGGGAGGAGCCCCCCTGAAGACATCCCTCCTTCACAAAGGTTTTCAAGAGCATTTGGAAAAGCAGTGTGCCCACATTCACTATGTGTTCAAGGGATGCTCTCCAGGGTGTGTTCTCTGATGTCGGACCAGGGCTGAACTCCTTCTGAACGTTTTCCCACACTGAGGACACTGGCTGGGACCCTCTCTGCTGTGGAGTCTCTGATGTACTGCAAGGTGGGAGTTCTGCTTGAAGGACTTCCCACACTCTGGGCACTGGTATGGGGTCTCCTTGGTGTGAATTCTCTGGTGCTTGGTCAGACAGGAGCTGTCCCTGAAGGCTTTTCCACACCGACTGCACTCATAGGGCTTCTCACCAGTATGAGTCCTCTGGTGACGGATGAGGCCAGCAATGTTCCTGAAGAGTTTCTGACACTGGTCACAGCCATAGGGCTTCTCACCTGTGTGAATTCTCTGGTGCCTGATGAGGTAGGCACTCTCAATGAAAGTCTTCCCACACTCTTTACACTCATAGGGCTTCTCCCCAGAATGGATTTTCTGATGCACAATGAGGTGAGAGTTACGGTTGAAGGATTTTCCACACTCCACACATTCAAAGGGCTTCTCTCCAGTGTGAGTCCTCTCGTGCTGGGTGAGGTATGAGCCATCCCGGAAAGCCTTTCCGCACTTGCTACATTCGTAGGGCTTCTCCCCAGTGTGGATTCTGAGATGCACGGTGAGGTGGGAGATGTCCGTGAAAGGCTTCCCGCACTCATTACATCTGTATGGTTTTTCCCCTGTATGAGTTCTTTGATGCAAAATCAGAGATGAGTTTCGGTTGAAGGTTTTTCCGCATTCTAGACATTCGTAAGGTTTCTCCCCGGTGTGAATTCTCTGGTGTTGTGTCAGAGCTGACCCATCACTGAAGGCTTTCCCACACTTACTGCATTTGTAGGGCTTCTCTCCTGTGTGGATTCTTTGATGCACACTCAGATTGTAGTTCTTGGAGAAGGATTTTCCACACTCGTTACAGGTATAAGGTTTTTCTCCAGTGTGAGTTCGGTGATGCAAAACAAGAGAAGAATTCCGTTTGAAGCATTTGCCACATTCAGTACATTTGTACAGCTTCTCTCCAGGTAGACTTCTCCTGTTTTCATTAAGAGATGGACTCAAGGTAAAGATGTCCCCAAAGTCCTTGCCTTCATACAATTTCTTCCCTCTTTTTGTTATTTTTTGTTCACCAAGAGGAGTAAAGTGGTTGAAAGACTCAACACTTTCAGGGTATTTATAGGGCTTCTCTCTCATTTGATTTCTTCCAAGTTGTTGAATAACTTCCATGGAACGGCACAAGGCTTTTCCACAGGCATCACTGTCGCCAGTTCTCTTAGCTACAAAACTTTTCTGAGAACTTGGTAAAGTTGGGTCACAATCCAAACTTCTGACCTCTGAGTCATGTATATGGAAACCATTTGATGTAGGGATTCTCTGAGAAGGCAGAAGGTCTGAGCTTGCACTCAAAGGCCTCCCAAGGCCAGGATACTCACAAATTGCTTCCTGAGCCCCTGACTTTTCCTGACTTAAAGCTGGTTGCCTCAGGTGTCCCTCCCAGTTTTTATAATCCCAACTGTCACCTAGAATGGAGAAATGGACACCCTCCCTCGGAAACCCTTCCATTTCCACATCACAGGGTAGTTCTTCCTCAGGAATATTCTGAGCTGTCATTTTTAGTCTTGTGCCCCAGGCTGAAAAGTGAAGAATGAAAAAGACAAACTTCAGTACACGAAGTTATGAAGGAATGGATGGGACTACAATGAGAAATGGTGCTAGGCAAGGATATTTTACTTGTTTTCTCTTTTTAATTTTTTAAGATTGATTCAAGACAGAGAGGGACACACTGATTTGTTGTTCCACTTACTCATGTGTTCACTGGTTGACTCCTGCATGTGCCCTGACTGGGAATTGAACCTGCAACCCTGGTGCACTGGGATGATGCTCTAAACAAACGAGCTACCTGCTAGGGATTCTCATATTCACATCTATACAAGGGAGTGATAAACTGAAAATCAAGGCATGGACGCAAGCACAGGTTCAAAGACAGCCACACAGTTTTTATCCTCCTAAAGAACAGACAGGAGGAACAGTACTAGGGATATATATCACCAACAGAATTAGCCTGACAAGTGAGAGACCAGAGGCCAGGTATCCTACTCACACTGGGCCACCTCAGCCACTGTGTGCTGGTGTCCATCAACAGTACAACAACCAGCACACATTTCTTGCTTATTTGCTTTGTTGATTAGGTTCCACTTATAGATGAGATCATACGGTATTTGTCTTTCACCCCTGGCTTAACAACCAGTACACATTTCAAAGCCGCAAAGTTACATTATGTATATGGCAGTGCTGAATGAGCAAGTCCACCCCAGCTTGATGGTAAGAGCTCAACCTTCACAGGTGGGATGGAGCACAGGCTGAGTGACTGCTCTGCAGGAATATTAGGAAAGTTAAATCACGTCTGAGGCTGGCTCCAAGCCAGGGAAGGGACAGCACTCTGTACATGGCTGCTGGTGTCCTAACCGTTCTTGATCCTCCTGTAACCACCCTCACACCCTTCCACTTCATGATATCAAGACAACTGGCTCTCCACATATATATTTTTTAGGTACAATGATATCAGTTAGACCTTTACACGTCAGAAAAAATATTTAAAAATATCAGGTGGATAAAGACCTCGACTTAAAATCAAAATTCAAATTACATAGGATATCTTCACGAATGGGCACTCCTGGATCAACAGGACATAATAATCAAAAGCCATACAGACAAGGATTAATGACTTTTACAGCAACATCAAAATTTCCACACAACAGAAGACAGAATAAGAATCAAAATACAAGTGGCAGATGGAGAGACAGTAGTATAAAATATAAAAGAGACAAAGGGAATAGTGCTGAGAACTAAAAAGAATTTTTAGAGAACACAAAAAAGGAAGAAAAAAACTGGGTAAAGGGTACAAAGAGGCACTTCACAGAGAGAAAATAGAAGTGCCCCCAAAACATGGATATCTGCTCTTTCCCACCATCATTCAGGCAACTATAAACTACAACTTTAAGAATGAATATAAAATATGCACATTTCATACAAGTAAAAGTAAAATAAGGTATAAAAATGTAAAGCTTGGGCAGGTCATACAAGAAGAGTTGGCAGGCACTGAGAGTGGTCAGCCACTTGACGATCTGGTAGCAGCTGTCAAAACATAAAATAGGCACACTCCTCCACCTAACAATTCCACTCCTAGGCATCTCAGGCTCAGAAAGCATGAGTCCTGAGCCTAAGTGCACATCGATCTGTGTCAGGTAGAGAGTCTTAAAGACCAGGAGAGAGAAGAGAGACCCCTGGGGAAAGAATGAAAAGTATCATGACAGCAAAACAGAAACCTGCAAGTAATGTGAGGTTACTTTCAAAGTACTCAGGGGGAAAAAAATGTCAGATATGTTATTGTTCAAGAGTGAAGGTAAGATAAAGAAAGCTTCAGAAAATCAGAACCAGGCCCTGGCCAGGGAGCTCAGTTGGTTAGACCATCATCCCCATTCACCAAAATTGTGGGTTTGGTCCCCCGTCACAGCACATACAAGAATCAATCAATGAGCCCTGGCTGGTGTGGCACAGTGGACTAAGAGCCAGCCTGAGAACCACAGGATCGCCGGTTCGATTCTCAGTCAGGGCACATGCCTGGGTTGCATGCCAGGCATGTGCCTGATGGGGTGTGTGTGAGAGGCAACCATACACTGATGTTTCTCCCCCTCTCTCCCTCCCTTCTCCTCTGTCTAAAAATAAATAAATAAAATCTTTTTTTTAAAAGAATCAATCAATGAATGCTTGAATAAGTGGAATAAAAAATTTCTCTCTCTCAAATCAATAAATTAAAAAAAAATTTTTTTTAAATGCAGAAGCAGAGTTTATTTCCAAGTGTAATAGCCAAAAGAACTGGAGACATTATTCCTCAGGAAAAAACCAGAAGGAAAAGAATGGAAAGAAAAGGAAATTACAAATATGTGTTTAAATGAAATCCACTCCAGACCATATAAAATGCAGCAGTAAGTGACTTGTGGGGTTAAAAATGGGATGAACTAAAACCCTGGATAGCAGTCGACTGCAAGATGAGAAAAGGGTAAAAAACTTGTGTCTTGACGCCCCTGTATTTTTCATGATTCATGTGAAACCTGGGAAAGTCAGGAATAAAATAAATATCGTGTAAAACTTCTAAGCCCACAGGGCAGTGATTTTCAACCAGGGACATTTTGACCCACAAAGGACATTTTGGGATTTCTGAAGACATTTTAGTTGTCATCATTGAGGGGACAGTGCCACTGGAATCTGGCACAATGAAGCCAGGGATGCCACTAAACACCTTTTGATACACAGGAAAGCCCCTCCCAACATAGAATGATCCAGTCCCAATGTCAATAGTGTGGAGGTGGAAAAATCCTGTTGTAGGAGGGAAGATAAAAGAGAAAATAAAACTAGGTCAATCCAGAAGGTGTTAAGGGGGGAAGCCCAGAAAGGACAGGCTAAATAGAAAGTATAAAACAATAAATGTAAATGGCCATGATAGACGCTCCATCACGATGCATTTGTAACAGACACACCTAAAGCAAAAAAACATAGAAGACAAAAGCAAAAGTTTGGAAGAGACAACCAATGCTAACCAAACAAAGATTTTAAGGCTCTTTGCTAACCAACACAAAGCAAAGTTAGACAGGATTGAAAGTCTGAATCAGCAGAAATCAGCAAACCCAACCATACTGGGAGGTTTAATGAACCTCATTCAGAAATGGAAATTCAGCAAAACTGATTAGAAATAGGCAGGAGAGGATGTAATTAGACAGCCTGATTGCACAGCTGGATGAAGAGTGCAGTACCAACAATTAGAACCAAGTGCTTTCCAAGCACAAGTGGAACATTTGCTAACACTAGTCATAAACCAGGCCAAAAAAAACAGTTCAACAAAGTCCAGACCACAACCTCTTGGTAAATGTGGTCAAGTAAAAAACCAGTAATAGAAAGAAAACCAAATACAAGAAAAACAATACATAAAACAAACTGTTATTTATTTGGAAAAATAAAAAGTTATTTCTCAGTAATTCACAGATCAAAGAGAAATCTTGAGAGACATTAGAAAACACCCAGAACTGAACAATGATGAAATAGAACAACTCAAAATGTGTGGCAAATGAGGATGCAGCTAACATAGTTTCTAGGTAGAAAATGTTGGTCTTTCGTGCTTACATTTTTAAAAGTCTGAAGGTTAGTGAGCTCACTGTTCAGCTTAAGACCAAAGGAAGCCCTGGCCAGAATGGCTCAGTTGGTAGGAGCACAGTCCCATGACTGAAAAACTGCAGGTTCGACTCCTGGTCAGGGCACATACCTAGGCTGCAAATCAGGCCCCCGGTCCAGGTATGTACAAGAGGCAACCAATCAATGTTTCTCTACCACAGCAATGTTCCTCTCTCTCTAAAAACAATAGGAAAAAATGCCCTGGAATGAGAATTTTTTAAAAATTGAAAAAAAAAGACTTAAGGGAAAGAACCATGGAGTAAACCAACAGGAGGTAGAAGGTGATAATAAAGGGACGTGGGGGGGAGAGTAAGAGACAGGAAAAAAATAAAGGTAAGAGCAGAAATCACAGAACCTGAAAACATGGAGACAGCCAAAAAGATGAAGAAAACCAAAAGTCTGTTACTTGAAAAGGCTAATGAAATAGACATGCCTATGGCAAGAGTGATCATTAAAAAAGAGAAAGGAGGTATATGTAGGTGATATCAGTATGCAAATGAGATTTAACTAAGGAACAGTAAAAATATCACCCAAGTGGCAATGCTGGATTTATCCTAGCAATGCAAGGACTGTGGGACGTTAGAATATGGACCTAATTCCCATATTGTCAGATAAAAGTAGAAAACTATAAGCTACCTAAGGAAGCTATCTCAGTATACTCATAAAGCACTAATTTAAAGAAATCTGACCCAGACTCCTAATCAAAATGCTCCCAGGCTAAAGCAAAAGCCCCCCTTGCCCTATGTCAGTAAATTCAGAAAGTACTTTAAGGAAAGTTCCGATTCATGACAAAAATTCTTAACAACTAAGAACACGGGAAATTAAGGTAAATGTCACATCTAATGAGGAGATATAAGGACTGTTCACTCTGAAGTGAAGACTAAGACCCCACAGGTCTGCCATGTCCGCAGCATTGAACGGTGATGCTGAAGGGCGGGGTGACCGTGCCCCCAGCTGTCATTCCTAGAAGCTCCTAATGAAAACGCCTCCTGAGGCTGCCCCGCCACCCTGCCACATGTTCCCTGTACTGGGCCTTCGGAGTGAACGGGGGCCCGGGTGACCTGTGATTGTCCTGTGAAAACAATAAATGGAGAGCACCTCCTCCAGGTCCATCGGGAGAATACACGTGTGCACTTGAAAGAAATGAGGTAAGACAGACATACACAGAAGGATACCACTTTGGAAAACTTTTCAGACAAACAAAATATTACGAAAGTAAAAATATTAAAATGTCCTGGCAAGAATACCTACCAAAGATGTGATCATGAGGGTCTTGGGGGCATGGAGGGGAACTGGTCTTCAGGAACAAAGGAAATGTCCGCTTCATCTCTAAAAGACACCTTTACCGAAATAAGACTTACACACCACTAAGAAAAGTGAAAGACAGATGACCCACCAAATGGTAGAAAAGATTTGCAAAGCACACATCTGATAAAGGATTTATACATAGATGATATAAGAGCACATGAAAAGATCATCACTACTTCTGGCCAATTAAAAAAAACAACAGAAAATAACAAGTGTTGTGAGGAAGTGGAGAAACTGGAACCCTCATACGCTGTTCCTGGGAATGTAAAATGGTATAGCTACGTTGGAAAACAGCCTGTTTCTTGAAAAGGTCAATATAGAGTCATCATATGACCCAGCAATTTCATTTCTAGGTAATTATTCCTCCTCCCCCCAAAAATGCAAACATATGTCTACGATAAACCTGTACATGAATTATGAGCTCACAGCAGCACTATTCATGATAAACAAAAAGTGGAAACAATCCAAATCAATGTATATCAGCCGATGAACAGCTAAACAAAATGTAAAAATCCACATAATGGCCCTGGCCAGTATGGCTCAGTTAGTTGGGTGCTGTTCCATAAAATGAAGGGTCGCAGGTTCGATTCCCAGTCAGGGCACATCCCTAGGTTGTGGGTTCAGTCCCCAGTCAGGGTGTGTACATAGGCAACCGATCAATGTTTCTCTCACATCAATGTTTCTCTCCCTCTATTTTCCCCTCCCTTCTCCTCTAAATATATAAAATCTTTAAAAAAAAATAAAAATAAATCCACATAATGGAATATTCTAATATTCTTCGGCCATAAGAAGAAATAAATTATTGATATAAGCTTCAGTAACATAGATGAACCTTATAAATGTTATGCTCAGTAAAAGAACTATACACTGTATGATCCCATTTATATCACGTTCAAAACAGGTAATCCCATAAAAACTTAAAGTCGACTTGTGGTTGCCAGAAGGTGGGAGAACGAGGGGACCGGGGCATGACTGATAATGGGTATGAGCTGTTTTCTTGGTCTGATGAAAATGTCCTGAAATTACATACCGGGGATGATGGCAAAACTTTGCAAATATACTAAAAACTTCGGAACTGTGAACTCTGGATGAATTGTGTGGTATATGAATTATATCTCTATAAAGCTGTAATAAGTAAGTTTATACCTTCAAGAACAATGCTAGTGATGGACCAATATATGCCCTAAAAGAGACAAATTTCCCCCAGCTGGACCTGTAGCTTTTGACCTTCGCAGTATCCCCTGGGGGCATCTGGAAATTTGCAGGTGTTAGGTTGTCACAAAGGTAGAGCCAGGGGAACTGCTGGCATCGGACGGGCGGAGGCTGGGGCGGCAGATTTGCTACCATGCTTGAAGCTGCCCCACCTGATGTTTATCCTGTGTCCCACAGGCCCTGCAGGTATCATCCTGGGGTGCTTCAGAACAGAACAATACTATGTGTGTTACAAGACATGAGGAAAAGGCCACCGTCATTTAGAAGGAAGCTAACAGGAGATCCCAATATGCACTGAATTCATGAATTCATGCCTCACTCTGCACCTCTCTCCTTGACAAAACTGGCCATTCCAAATATGCCCTCAGTCAATGCGGGTGTTAGTGCCATAGTGAGATTATTGCACAAAGAACAAATCAAAGAAAAAGACAAAAAAAAAAAAAAAGATAAAAAAAAAACCCCAAAAAACAAATGGTGACCAGGATACCCAAGTACATTTAGGACTGACTGTGGGAAAACAGTATTAAAGCAGGGCTTTTAATGCAGGAATCACACTGAATTTCATTCATTAAATTTGTTTTAAAAAAGTCTCAGGAGCATTTGACATCTTGCTCTGTGGCATATGTCATCAGTTTAGCTCAAATAAACATCTAATAATTCTAAAAATAAAAAAAATAAAATATCGCATATTATTTCCTTTATACGTATTTGTGGTATTACTGTTTTTAGCAATGCAATGATGCAAAAATTACATGGTAAATAATCCACCTGGCCCTGACGGGTGTGGCTCAGTGGGTTGGGCGTCGTCCAGCAACGCAAAAGGTCGCCAGTCTGATTCCTGGTCAGGGCACAGGCCTGGGTTGTGGGCAGAGTCCCTGGCTGGGGCGTGTGCTGGTGGTAACTGATCAAAGGTTCTCTCGCAGACTGATGCTTCTCTCCCTCTCTTTCTCCCTCCCTTTCCCTCTATAATAAAAAATAAATAAAATCTTTATAAAAATTCATCTTGATCCTGTTTGCATATTTGGGGGTTCAATGTACGCCTCCCACCTGTCCCCTGACCCTGTTCTCAACTGTCCGCTATGCCACACCACTCCTCTGCAGCCCCCGAGTCACCAATTTTCCCCAGCCTGTCCCCTCCCCCACGGCCATGGAAGAAGATGGTTTCCAAGGTTTTCTACACTGAATGCTGCTCCAGCGCATGCTGACACCTCAGGTCGGGAGAGTTTTCTGTGATAAGTTGTCCTGCGGCTGCTCCAGGTCGTAACACGGTGGGTGGCTCACCTGTGGATACAGCTCACTGGACACTCTGGGTTGACTTGTAGTGTAAATGCTTAGAACTCACGCCCACCAAGGTACTGCCTTTCTTCCTTTCCTGCTTCAGACACTTGGTCTGGGTTCATTTCTCCAATACTCACTGTTCCAGAAGCATCCACCCATACCTCACCTCATTCAATTTCCCTGAAGACAATGAATCCTGACCGTTGTATTTCTCTTAATCCAAACCTACAATCTCCAGCACCAGGCTGCTTCCTATGCCTTATACGGTAGCTCTATCCAAGCATTTAAATACAAACACACATATTTTAAAACAAATGCCGTTTTTTGTATTGACTCTTTTTTTTATTGACTCTTTACATGCACACAGGACTTTAGAATTTTTAAAATTATGTGGATATGTAGTGTTATCTATAAAATTCCTTTCAGGCTGGGAAAAGGCACATTGCAAACATGACCATAAAGAATGAGCATTACACAAAAATTAACTCAAAGGAATTGCCTAGCCCTAAAAGGGATGGAGAAGATGGGGAGCGACTGCTAACGGGCACAGATTTTCTTCTTGAGGCTGATAAAACATCCTATTGCCCTGGTCAGATAGCTCAGTCGGTCAGAGTGTCGTCCCAATAGCCAAAGTCGTGGGTTTGATCTCCACTCAGGACACGTATAAGAATCAACCAATGAATGAGTAAATAAGTGAAACAACAAATCGATGTTTCTCTCTCCCCACTTCTGTCTCTCTAAAATCAATAAACAAAAATTTTTTTACATAAAAATATTCTAAAATTGTTATTGGTAATGGATACACCACTATACAACCTAATGAATATACTAAAAATCACTAAATTTTATCTTAAGGTGGTGAATTGAATGGTTTGTGAATTATATCTCAATAAACCTGCATTTTTTAAAAAAATAAGCAGCCCTAGCTTGTGTGGCTCAGTGGACTGAGCGCTGGCCTGCGAACCAAAGGGTAGCGGGTTAGATTCCCAGTATAGGGCACAGGCCTGGGTTGCAGGCCAGGTCCCCAGCAGGGGTCACGTGAGAGGCAACCACACATCGATGGTTCTCTCCCTCTCTTTCTCCTTCCCTTCTCTAAAAATAAATAAAATCTTTAAAATATATATATATTTATTAAAAAAATAAGCAGGTGTTGAGTCTGTCAGGATCATAACCACTGGTCTAGACCCTACTGGCACAATTCTGAACCTAAGACTTCATGAAGTAACAGTTTTGTAAGATAAACCAAGGTAGTGTAGAATTCTACCCCCAGGCACTCACCTCTGAGGGGCTTTATCCCCAGTCTCTAGAACGCTGCAGAGAAATTCACTTAAGCCCAGGGCCTGGATGTTTGAAATCAAAGGCTGCCAGACCTCAGCTATACAAGACTGTCTGCATGGTTCCTGCCATCTCTGTGGACCAAACATGATAATGTTTACTTATTCATACAATTCATTTTTTAAAAGACTTTATTTATTTATCTTGAGAGAGAGGGGAAGGGAGGGAGAAAGAAGGGGAGAGAAATGATTGGCTGCCTCTCGCATGCCCCCTGCTGGGGACCTGGCCCACAACCCAGGCCTGTGCCCTGGCTGGAAACTGAACTGGCGGCCTCTCAGGTCGCAGGAGGGCACTTAATCCACTGAACCGCACCAACAAGGGAAATGATGCATTCTTTAATAAAAATAAATTCTTTGCCACAAAATTTTGAATTGTCCTAACAAAGTCACCCGCCTGACTACCACCTGTTATAAAATCTGACTCCATTTTTGATGACTGACTACTAACAGCTGTCAGGCACCTCCCCACCCCTCCCCTCCTTTCCACCCCACGTCTGGGAAAGCTAACGAGGAAGCCTGAATGCCTCCTCCTCGGAGCTGGACCGAAGTTCAAACCACGCAAGCCCCAAGCCAGGCGAGGCCACCTCATCTCCACTCCGCTCCGCTCTCGAATCCCAGCAACAGCCCAGCCAAACTCCTTTTCCTGCTCTCAGGCTGTTACTGGATTACCTCGAAAAGATGCCTTCCTCTCCCATGGCAGCCTCATTATGTGAGTAATGAAGCTTTTATCCTCTTGGGGGGCTGTATGTGTAAAATATATGAAGAGAGTGCGTGTATGTGTATTTGAGACAAGGAGAAAAGAAAGGTAAAGCTTATGGAGCGAAGTGTTAACTAGAGAATCTGGATGGTTTTACAAGTGTTCATTGAAATACTCCTGCAACTCTTTTGTACGTAGGACACTTTTAGAAATAAAACCTGTGGCCCTGGCTGGTGTGGCTCAGTGGACTGAGCAGCGGCCTGGGACCCAGAGCTGCAGGTTCCATTCCCAGTCAGGGCCCGTGGGCCAGCTCCCCCGCAGGGGGCCCCGGAGAGGAAACACTTCGCTGTGTCTCTCCCTCTCTCTCCCTCCCTTCCCCTTTGTCTAAAAATAAATAAAGGAATACTCTTTTTGAAAACATAAATAAAATAAAAAGTTGGTCCCAGACAAGAAATAAAGGAGTTCATCGCCACCAAACCAGTATTATCAGTATTACAAGAAACGTTAAAGGGACTTTTTTAAGGAAAAAAGGAACATGTCAATGGTTTAAATACTCCAATCAAAGAACATGGAGGTTTGCGTGATCAGTGTGGCTCAGCTGGGCCTGGTCCCACAACGTGGAGGGTGCCGGCCGGACTCCCGGTCAGGGCACACGCCTGGGGTGCGGGCCAGGTGCCCAGTGCGGGGTGTGTGAGAGGCTACGGAGGGTGTTTCTCTCCCTCCTCCTCTCTCTAAAAATAAATACAATCTTTTTTTAAAAAAAAAGTTTGGTGGGAAGGGAGAGAAAACAAGCAACAGAATGGAGGAAAGCGACTTGCTGTAACTGTAAATAAACCAAACAAATACAGGTTTGGAATTGAAAACACACAAGCCCAAGTGCCCTAGTGACCCAATTTTTAAATAAGTGAAGAATAAGGCATCTTTCCGGGGTGATGGGAATTCTGAGAAAGGGTTGGGTTGCACTGATCACAACTCATCCAATTTTGCCTCAAAGTTTGAAGAAAGCAACAGTAATGAACTCCAACGTCACGTACGGTGAGGTGTTTGAGGGGGGAGCACGGCGGTAACCGCCCTTTAATTTAAACGTGTCCCCCCAAACAGTTAATGGATGGGTAAAAGAATGGACAGGGAGAAAGACGAACTACAGCGAGCCCAGCAGCTGTTAAGGGGTCGCACGAGACTTTCCGCGTCTCTCCACGGCTGGAAGCTTTCACCATGGACCACCGGGGAGAGCGGAGCTAAGGGAAGGAGCCTCTAAAACCCAGGGAGAGAGAAGCAAAACGGCCACAAAAACGGGTGGAGCAGGCGGCCCTCGCTGGGACCCGCACCAACACCGGACCGCGAAGACACCAGGTCGCGGGGGGCCGCGGGAGGAGGGCAGGCGATCTGACACCTGCGGGACTCGGGGAAACGGCACCGGTGGCCGGCGCCCCGGCGCCCCTACAAGGGGCAGCAGAGGAGCGGTAGCCGGGGGTCGCCCCAGCAGCGCGGCCAGGACACGAGGCAGGCCCACGCGACCCCGTCCCCGAAAACCAGCGGAGACGAGCGCGGAACGGCTGAGCTCCGCGAGGAGGAGGACACAGACCAGGAGGGGTCCGCACACCCCGATCGGGACCCTCCCCCAGCGGGAGGCGTCCTCCCGCGCAGGGGCGTCCTCACCAGCGAGGGGGCCGCGCCCGGGGTCCACCCCGCCCTCTGAGCCGACCGCGCCCACTGCCCGCCGGCAACCCGTCCCCAACGCGCCGCTCACGACCCACCGGGACTCGGCGGACGCAGACACTCCCCGCAGGGGGACACTGTGATACCGAAACTCAGGAGGCGCGGCGGGACTCACCGCCAGCGAAGAGCCCGTGGCGGCGGCCATGTTCGGGCCAGTGCGCGTGCGCGCGCCAAGACCCAACTGTGTGCTTCCCTGGAGGCTCCGCCCCACCCGCCCGGCGCGCGGGGGACGTCCCGGCTGTTCCGCTCCGCCCGGGACCGCGGGTCTTCGGGGCCGTCGTCCAGAGCGAGGTTCTCCCTGCCCTCTGCCCGCTGGGCGCCCAGCCTTCGCCCCTCGCCGAGCTGGCTTTGACCGCTGCCCCCCGCCGCCCTCCGTGCGCGTCGCTGGGACAGCCGCCGTCCGCGGGCTGTCCCTCCCGCATCTTTTGATACCCCTATGGACTCAAGGATATTTGTTTCCTCTTATGGTTTTAATCCGATGCCGTCATTATTGTAGGCCCTTATCTTTCTTTACGGCGCAGTTTGCCCAAGTTATTCCATACCATACCTTTTTTTTTTATTTTGAGAAAAATGTGTTAAAATTCAGAGAAGTGCACTTCATTTTCATGGGCAGTGTGTTTACTTAGAAATCAAAACAGAAGTTACATGTTTTATGAATTCGTACAACAGTTAAGTAACAATTTAATTTTTTTTTTTAAGTAACAGTTATGGTAGGAAAGTAACAAATTAATGTATGTGCTTTATGGGAAAAAGCACTCAGTATGTAAATATCAGTAGCCCTCGCCGGTGTGGCCCGGTGGCTTGAGCGCCGGCTTGCGAACCAGAAGGTCCCGCGTTCAGTTCCCTGTCAGGGCACAAGTCTGGGTTGCGGGTCAGGTCGTGCGAGAGGCGATCAATGGACTCTTGCACACTGATGTTTCTCTCCCTCTCTTTTACCCCTCCTTCCCCTCTCTCTAAAAATAAGTAAATAAAATATTTAATCATCAGTAATAAGTTAAAATGTGCTTTGAAAAATAAATGTTGTCAACTTTATATGTGTGTATAAAATAATTCTGGTAAGTCGGATACGTAAAAACAAAAACAAACAAACAAACAAACAAAAGCAATGAATACCCATACTCCATTACATCCAACGTTAACATATCAACAGTAGAATGACCTGAACTTGGCATTCTCATCCAAGGGAACACTGTTTCGAACATACTACCACATACGGTAAAATCGATGTATCTCACAAACTCAGTGTTGAGCAGAACAAGGCCGACTTCAGGGCTTTTTGTGTGGGTCAAGTTCAAAAACTGGTAAAAAGGAATCCATGGCAATAAAAGTCAGAATTGGATTTGTGAACCTTTGAAGGGGAGGTGATACTGGAACACAAAGGGAGCATCTGGGTCGCTGTTCCTGTTTTATTTCTTGATTCTGCATTTGTGGTGCTCTCTTCCAAGAGAGTGCAGAAAGGCCTTCCAGAGGCCAGGGCTGGCGCGTCCGCTGAGGTCAGAGCCGCATTTCCCAAGTGCAGGACAGCGGAGGCCGCCCTTTCTGGGAGAATCCTGCCCGGGTTCAGCACTGCACGTTGGCAGCGCTGGTGGGGCTCATATCTTGTCCTTCAGTTTGAAGATCAGCGGGTCCCTAGGATTCTCTGGTTCCTGTGATGGGACAGGTGTGGACAAAAAAAGAGGTTCTATGGAAAGCAACCTCTCAGGGTGATCTGATCACAAGAGCCTGACCGTGGTGGGTTGTCACAGCCCAAGCTTGTAACTTCTTTTGTGAAAGGTCTAGCTTTGCCTCGCGCAAGCCTGGTGCCTTGTTTCTGCGCCTTTGAAACGCGCCTTCTCAGAGCCCTCTCACCTCCCTGGAATCTTCCCTTCCCTTCTTTATTTCAAACGCCTAAAAGATGCTACAAGCTGTCAGTTCGGCGGCGAAAGCAGCTTTCTTAGTCTGTTGAGATCTTGCTTCCAGGCGTCTGCTGTTTGGTTTAAATAATAGAGGTTTTCACCACTTCTCTACAGGCTTGGAGGTTCTTAGGTCCACACAACACTGGAGCTATTCCTCGGGGAGGGAGGTGCTCTATGTAAATATCAGAAGATGCGCACTGATATCCAGGGGCCGGGGTGTCGGTCACCAGCGGCGCTACCCCTGCAGAGAGTGAGGGTCTTGCGGGAATGTGGGTCGGAGCACGAGCAAGCGAGGCCTCTGCCTCGGAAGCGGGATCTGGAGGACGACCTCACTCCCTGGCAGCGGGAGGCAGGGGCAACCGTCCCATTTGCCCTCATCAGCTTCAGCTTTACGCGTCAGCCCGCCGCCTCTCCGCGCCCATCTCGTCCTGCTGTTCTCATTGGCCTGGCCCGCAGTGCCCTCTAGCGACAGTAGGGCGAAATGACAGCGGGTCCTAGATGGCGAGGTCCTTGGGAACTTCAGAACGGATCCCAGGGGCCTTAGGGCGCTCAGGGTGGGTCCCAGGGCCAGCAAGCTTTAAAATGACCTCACAGGCGAAAGAAAAAGTCATCCGCGGGACTCAAACTAGAGCCTGAGTTTGTCGACAAGAGCCTGAGACCCAAGAGTCTGAGACTTTTTTTTTTTATTATTTTTTGATCTCCATGAGTTTTATTGAATAGTGGAATGAAAATATATGAAAAACACAAAAAGATTTAGTTCCATCTTAATGAACTTAGAATCTTAGTGCTTGGGCACAGAGAGAGGCTCTTTCAGTATTGCTAGCAGCAAAGCCTATAAATACCCATGTTACCATTGACTAGAAATGGACTTCTCATGGCTACACATAATTAAAAAATAAACAGTTGAATCATTTGGCCTTTGGTAGTTTGGACATGAACTTATTTTATTTTATTTTATATTTGGACATTAACTTTAGAAGTGCAAGTTAAAGTTGGTGATATAACACCCCGTTTATGAAGATAATTTTCCTTGGTTAATATTTTGGGGATACAGAGAAGAAAACTTCCTTTTGTTGTTCTCACCACTTGAGTATATTCTCAGCCAGTTCTTCTGTCTCAGTCACCAAAATATCTATTTTTTCTAAATCTTTGCTCATTTCCTTTGGATTCCCATCTAAATGAGGGACAATTCTAATTGTTTCAAGATGGGTTTCTAATCTCTCAATGAAAGTGACTGCCAACTCCAGCAAATGTACCATGTGTCTGTGATAAACAGGTTAAATAGGCAGGTTTTCCTGACACATGAGTTTCATCAGTATTTGCCTGAGGGACTTCTTTTTCAGCACTACTTCCAAGTGATTATTCTTGTTTTCCATTGTGAATTCATTGATTGGTTCTTGTATGTGCACTGACTGGAGATTGAGCCGGCAACCTTGGCATATCAGGACGACCTTCTAACCAGCTGATATACCCAGTTAGGGAAACCTCCAAGTCTAAAAGAAACAATGAACATTTGCTAATTTTTTTTTCAAGTCTTAGAAGTTCAATTTCCAGGGTTTTGGGGTTTTTTGTTTTTTGGTTGATTTCAGCTTGAATATTTGTGATCTGATGTAGCCCGGAGAAGTTCACAAAGCAAGAAGCTTATTTCTTAGACATATTTAACATCTGAGTGCCAAAGCTACAAAATGGCCCTGCAGTAGACTTTAGCTTTGGCTTGGAAGCCTGGTCTCAAGTGTTGACTGGAGTTGGTGATGTACATTTTGAAGCTACGCATGGAGTACCGATCAGGGCCTATAGGGGGCAGTAGAGGACTATTTATCCGGTGACGAGTTTACTAGGGCTACGCTAGTGATTCTTAGTATATTTTTAAAAATTTGTTTTTCAACTACAGTTGATGTACAATATTATATTCTTTTCAAGTGTACAACACAGCGATTAGAAGTTTATAGAACTTATGGCCCTGGCTGGTGTGTCTCAGCGGACTGAGCACCAGCCTGTGAACCAGACGGCTGGTGGTTCAATTCCGCGCCTGGGCACATGCCTGGGTTGCAGGCCAGGTCGTGTGAAAGGCAACCTATTTCTCTTGCACATCGGTATTTCTCTCCCTCTTTCCCCCTCCCTTCCCATCTCTCTAAAAATTAATTAGTTTTAAAAAGCGATTTATACAACTTAGGATTTGATCACCTTGTTAAGTCCAAAAAGTATTTTTTAATACAAGGAAAAATGAATGTACTAGTTGTCTAGAAATTAATAAGGGATAATTTCCTCAGCCAAATATATGTGAACATTAAACAATATTGCAATTATTGAATTTAATTTCCTCAACACTCTATTAACATTTTCATGCCCTAACTGGTGTGGCTCAGAGGCTTGTGCACAGCCTGTGAACTGAAAGGTCAAATTCCAGGCAGGGAGCATGCCTGTGTTTCCAGTCGGGTCCCCATTTGGGGGCGTGCAAGAGGCAACCAATCGATGTTTCTCAAATCTCTGTTTCTCTCCCTCCCTTCCTTTCTCTCTAAAAATAAATAAATAAAATCTTTTTAAAAAAGAACATTTTCCTTTTTTTTATTGATTCATTTTAGAGGGAGAGAGGAAGGGGGGGAGAGAGAGAGAGAGAGACTGATTTTTGTTGTTCCACATATTTATACATTCATTGGTCGATTCTTGCATGTGCCCTGATTGGAAATCAAACCCACAACCTTGGCATGTGAGGCGGACAAAGCTCTATGAACCGAGCTACTCTGGCCAGGGCAGAAAAGAACATTTTCAAATGTTCAGATGCCTGAACAGAACTGTGTACCCAGCTCCTAAATAAGACAATCAACATTTAACAGTATGTGCTTTGTCACTGTATACATAGCCATTTGGGGGTGTATTTTCACAATAATCAAATTACCATGATTGAGAGAGTATGGATTCAGACACAGCTTCTGCCTCAGATTGCACAGCTTTCTAACTCTAGAACCTAAGACAAAAGACTTCAACTGTCTAAAACTCCCCTTCATTATTTGAACATTGGAGTAGTTAGAGGACTGCATGAGGATTTGTTAATAAAGTAATTTTTTTTTTTTTTTTTTTTTTGCTCATAGTGGATTCTTTTTCTGTGTGTCTACTTGTAGACTAACACAACTTTGTAATGCCTCTTTTCAGACACCCCCTAATACTGGATTTGCTCTGACTACAGTAAACCCTCAATGCAAATTTGCTATTGTTGCTAAGGGACTTTTAGGAAGAACTATTAGAAGTGAGCTTCCTAAGTATTAG